ATGAGTTAGGAGTCTATCCAAAAGCCTCAGCTGTGAGTGTAAACCCATATGCTGTAATGGCAACATATACTGTTTAATAACTTGCACTGTCTTTTGTACAATCAGAATAATATGCTGAAAAAAACATCGCCATCATACCACTATATTCCCTGGGGATAAAAAAATCTGTATTGGCCTATTGTATATAATATATTCAAAGAGGGTATTTTCTTCCCTGCATGAGTTACATATTTCTTTACATCTCTGCAGCTCTGCCTTAGAATCACAACAGAAACATCCTCATCAAGCCACTGTGGTGTTTTCTTAGTGTGTCAAGCTTAATGACAGACACAGTCAGGCTATCTGTCACAGTGTTTACAATTGGCTTAAAGGACCAGGTCGAAACATCAGCTATCTTACTATGCTAACTACATATCAACCACAGTTCTCTAGGCAATATACTAGGCCATTAAATGCACAAGGTGGACAATGATATATTATGTTGCTCATCTGTTTTGTTCATCTGGTCAAATGAGTAGCCAAATCCCTGTCATGTCCACTCATCATTACTGCAGTGATGAGATGTGTTCCTCTGTAAATCTAAGTCCTCAAGTCATACAGGGATACATTGAGTGGCATGGAGGAGTCCAGTGAAGTAGAAAACTTTGAAGCAAACCAGAGATGCTGCATGAATGGCCTGAACCTTAAAATAAACTGGCAGTGTTCTGGATGAGCAATGCAAGCCAACTACAGCTGTAATGCCTGAACATGGACAGGATAGGTACTGGGAAAGAATGATATGCAAACTGAGTCTTATCATTTCGTTTGTCAATGTATGTGAAAACATATTTAAACGCAAAAATGTACTGTGTAACATGTATGTGATAATCCCCCACAGCCCCTTTGAAACACTGAAGACTGACATTCAAACATCTATACAGATTTATGTATATATTTATCAATTTCTCATGGCCAATGTATTTCATAAATTCCAATCACAAGAAAACAGAACTATAGGAAGGGATAAAAAGGAGCAAAAACTAAAATCAGGGATTTCGCCATCAATGTATCTTTTTAATGACATATACTTGCCCCCAAGGGCTATCGAAGTGAGCCAAACTATTACCGTACTTCTACTGAGTACTACTTAGCCAAACTTAAACAAAACTACTCCAAAGTAAACTGTAAAGGTATTGCAATTCATCATAAATATTCAAGTACCACCTTGATATGTAGTTATTACCTCTGCCTACTTTGCAGAATCTGTCAAACCCTCCTGAACAGATGTCAGTGACATAGCACAGAGCATTAGGCCAAAGGCTAAGAAGACAGAGAGCACATTGAGTACATATAGCACACTAATTTGCTCACTGTATTAAGCAGGCAGACTTAGGCCATTGCCTAGTTCTCTGTTATGGTAAATAGCCTGGCTGGGCAGCTATGCAGCAGTCCTAAACGGCTCCTGTTACTAGTTTGTTGGTTAGCCATCACCACCAACAAATTAGCATCCACTTTTCAGGTTATAGCAGGTGAGTATTTGATACAAAAAACCACAGGCTTAATTAGAAATCAATTTGTAGCATTTGCAGTAAGATATTTGTGCTGTGGCAGCACTACTGTTGTGTGCATGGATAAGAGTTTAAATCCATACTACCGCCTAGGGCTGTGCAATTAATCGAATTTTATTTTCGATTACGGTTCCGCTCTCGGTACTGCAGGAATTAGGAAAATAGATTTCGTATTTGTTGTTGCAACATAAAAGTTTTCTTTCACATTCACCAACTCCGTTTCTGATGAAGATATTCGTCTATGATGCATATTCGCTTTTACTATGCAGAAGTTCATCTGCATCTCTCTCTCTAACCCTGTGTGTGAGGGGCGGGGCAGCGCTCTCACACACCTTGGAGCGCCGTGCACCCCACAGCCACACCCACACCCCCCCCACACCCACCCCCCCACCCACACACACACACGCGCGCGCACACACACACACACACACACACACACACACACACACACACTGCACTTAGTGACAACGGAGACAACTAAACGTTTGGAAGTGTGGTTCAGGCTTTTTCATGCAAGGAAACACGAGCAACCTCTGTGAAAGACACATACAGACGGAGAAATGTAAAGCTTTCTACTAACTAGAGTTAAGTACATTATACCAACATGGGTTAATGATGAAACTGACCATTATCCAGCTGTTGTTCTGGATATGTTCTTGAATTCAGTCTGAAATGGACATAGCATCATCTAAAATGTCGTTTAGAAATTCAGTTTCAGGTTGGTGGTGGTGGTGGCGGGGAGGGTCATGCTCAGATATCTTTAACTTATATTGTGTATAACATGAATAACTACATAGATGCAATACGGCATTAGCACATCCATGAAATTTATCTGGATGGCTGCTCACACTGAAATTCTGCTGTTACGGGGAGGATATTTGGGGGTGGTTACACTGAGCTGTTTACAAAGAGAAAAAACTGAATAAGTAATGGGCTGAGGAGGAACATAATGTAAAAGTTGAAGAACAGTTGAAGAACAGTTTTGCAGTGTCATTGCTCTTTAATTAATAAAAGCCCCCTCCGCCCTGAAATGATCTCTTAGGAAAGACCTAATAACACATATAGTGAAAACATTATTTAAATATTCAAAATCAAAGATGATGCACCATTCACGGCCCCTGAATGTCGAAACAGTTAGATTCATTTATATTAAATAATGACAGATCATTTCTTAAAGTGGGCAACCAACCTTGTCAGAAACAAAAAAACCTAATACTGAACAAACAGAAAAAAAACAGTGCTTCAATATCCAGATGACATATTCTCAATTAAATACAGTGACAACAAAATAGCAGCAAAAAACAGCAGATTTTCAGTTGCTGTAACTAAATTGTTAATACTGAACAGATTTTTAAGAGGCATGACAATAATACATTCAGATGCGTCACTGATCTTCTGATTACACTATAAATATTGACTGCAGATTTATCATTTAAGGAAAGACTCAACTTGTGCACTGCCTCCACAGCCAGCGACAGCTGATAACCAATCTAAATGGAATCTAAGTGGATTTTACAGTGTAGGATGGATTCAGACTCGGCATCATTTGTGATTTTTGGATCAAATATTTTACACAAAGCCAATGATCTACTTACTAAAAGACCTGATGTACTTTCAATTATTTAAGTGCAATGTATATGTATAAAAAAAGTAAATGAACAACATAAAATAGCAACTGATTCATTTTGAAAGTTCATATTTTTGTGCTAAAAAGAAAGAATTTTATGTTGTTGGATAATTGCCCAATTACCTCTCTCACCAAAGAAAAATGGTTGATTAAATGATTTAAACGGCATAATAGCTTATCATTTGTTCAACAAAAGGTAATATAGCAGTCTATCTTGTTTCCCAAAATTACACTGACCCCACTTACACTTAGTCACTTCATGTGTCTTGGGCAGATCAGACAGCCATCACATCTCAAAAAAGCTAAGTGTAAATGCATCCAAGAGGCATTCAAGACTGATTAAAATCCAAACACTGAAACCACCTCCATACATGGTTTGAGACACATTCTAACCAGAATGGATCCATCTCTCCAAGAACTATACATATTCTCTTGTCCTCCCAAAGCGTAACTATGTCAATGAGCAGTCTGTGGAAATACCCACTCTCTGTCTTTCTTAATACATCAATGCTCTGTCTCCTCTGTCCTTGTGATAACAGCAGCGAAACTTACGCTAAATTACACTGAAATTAGCTATTGTTCTCTGTCTCATTAAAGCAACAGGGAAAATAGCTCCAGTGATTTCAACACATACGATCAAATACAAGGCACATTGAGCTATTGTGGCATTTATCTGATCCCTGATTAGTTCAACCACTGAATGATCTGTGTTGGGTGACAGATCATTGATTTGTATGGGTGAGAGAGCGACCTGAGTTAAAGCCTGTGAGGATGATAACATTTTTGTCTCGTTTGTAGCTCATAAAGACAAGTCATTCTGACACTAACTAAAGCATTAATTCCCATAACTTAACTGCAGCCTAGAAGTTATTCATCTTCTAGCATTTTGGCAGTTACCAAACAGCTTTAGGTTCTTTACAACCTCAGGGCAGACCCAAAGACGGATTGTAATTAGATTTGTGATACGGCCAACGGAGTCACACATATGTGGCTAAGGTTAGATGAAAGTGTCTTGAATCTCATCTGGATACAAGACATTTCAAATGGCAGTGTAAATGCACCAATTGCCACTGAAAATGTACATCCAGTTGTCATGTATTTTTAAATGCAAAGTACTAACCTGCCTCCAGAGTACCCCCGAAATGGTACAACGGCCATTTTCCTAAACCAAAAAATTACTTCAAAATGATAAGTTAAAGCAAAAGAACTACTGCCACTTCAATTTTGACTAATTACTTTTTGAGCATTGTACAACCTAACAATGACAAAAGTTCAATTTCAGAGTCAATTTATATGTTAACTACAAAGATCTGATTTAAAAGAGACACTGCTGATTTCAGCCGTGCATATCAATTTACTTTGGGACAAAGTGACACTGTTCATTTCCATAGATTAATCATATAATAGGATAGTGCCATTATGAAGACAATGACCTGAAAGAGGGACTTTCATTTGTTCTCAACCACATTAACTCTCTCATAGAATAAGTAAAGGAAAGGTAAGTACCCCTTAAAGTAAGTAGTTGTATTGTTGTTCAGCACACTAGTAAATATTAGATATGAACAGAATTTGTAAAAAAAAAAAAAAAAAAAAAAAAAAAAAAAGACTTAATATTTATAACACTGACAATGCAAGGTAAATGACTAGATAGCTGATAATTTTTTTTTTTTTTTCCCCACTGGGTTTAGTTGACTATCCTGGAATTAAGACCTTGTAAATTAATTGGTTGATAAATTGGTAAACTAAAGAGAGTTGTTGTGTTGCAGACACAGAGTAGGAGGTGGTGGTGTGGCAAGAGAAAGAAAATGAAAAGGTAAGACACTTACATTGCCCATATACTCAGAAAGAAGGTCCTGAAGAGCCTGGCGCACAGAATTGCATTCGGCCACAATGCGCTCCCTGCGGTCATCACGTGTGCAAGAGGAGTCAGCCATGAGGGCAGCACCACTGATAATGCTCTCAAGGCGCTCCTCCAGGGAGGGACGGAAACGCTCCTCGCTAAACGCCAGAGGGTCCACAATGATTTGTTTCTGTAAGGAAAGGGGCAGACGGGGAAATTACACACGGAAAAAAATGCAAAAAGTCATCATGGTACACTGATGTCTCCTGCTCCAAGCCCAAAGAGAGAAATCTGGCAGGCAAGGGGAGGGCAGATTTGACAGACTGACAGGCCAGCTGGAAAACCTAAAGGGAAGAATGTGCCATGCGCTCTTTTTTTTTTGTCTGTGGGCCAACAACTTGTTTCAGAAACAGTATCACAGTGGCCACATCTTTAACAAAATTAAAAGGAAGGAAGGAAGGGTAATGTAAAATAGTGTGCCATTTCTCGAATAATTTATGATAGAAAGGAATTAAGATAACAGTCACTTTTGTCTTCAATTCAAGGAAATGGCACTTAATAAGTGATGTCACCAGTCTAGTGTGGATAATAAATATACAAGACTTTAAAAGTAAGAGTTGAATGTCTCATTAAGTACTCAAACAGGGTTAAAGAAAATCTAACTTTGTTTTCTTTTCTTTTTTTTATCAAAAAATAAAAATTGTAAAACACTATCCCCTTACTCTCAAATTAAATGTCTTGGGGGGGGGATTAAATGAGATATATATATTCAGTCTTTTCTCTAATTATGCAAAAAAAAAAAAAGGAACAAATGAAATTGCTCTATTCTTTCCAAAACAAATATTTGAAAGCATAGCAGGATTTTCTACACACACACACATATATATATATGTGTGTGCTACCTTTGCTACTTTGATTTGAGTCACAGAAGTGTTATAGTAACCCACTCTCCACTCTTTTATATCTGCAGGATGAGAGAGAACACTTAAATGTCTGATTTCACAGGGGCAGGCCTGCTGAGAGAGGCAACTAGTTGACATGCTGGAGAGGTACTGCAGAGGGTTAAGGTATCACCATAATGCTTGTGGCATTGAAACAAAAAAAAAAAAGACAACTTCTCCAATGACAAATGAACTCTGTGCTTCTGCAGATGCCTTATTGCCACAAAATATTCAACAATTAAGCTGTTAGAATTGTGGTTTATTAGGCAGCCCGCCCTCCGTCACAGCCACCTCCAGCCCCCTCCATTCCGTCTCATCTGACCTCCTCTGCTTGCGTGTCATATCACCATGGCAACAGGCACATGAGAGAGACTCACAGAAGAGAGAGAGAGAGAGAGGGGTTGACTCATGTGCTAATTTTGCACTGCACTTGAAATTGGGCATCAGAAGCGAGCTAGTCTGAAAAAGGTCTGCCTCTAAGTTTTTTGGGGAAAGACTTTCTGCATGGCTAACTGTTAAATAATCACTGATGCAACAGATCTGAGACATTGTTGCCACTTGTTTTATGCACATAAATCATTTGGCATACCATCTATCGTTAAAGAGAGATGCTTTTATAGCTTTAAACAACTTAACATAAATTTTCATGACTGTTCATGACATTCTGTCCTTTCCTGAACACAAAAACTTCAACATTAGAAACAAGAAGCTAATAATGATATGAAATGCACAGTTTCTCTTAGTTTTGCTATCAGACTACCATTACCCTAAAAATACAAATTTGTTGAAAGCAGAAATGGCATGGTTTTATATACTCAGTAAGAGTAATGCACCACATTACCACATATGCTTCTTAAAAAGCTTAGCTTAAGTAAATTTTTCATTAGTCTTGCTAAGAGCTACTAACTCAGATGGAGATTCTAAAGATGGTCCTACGCAGGTTTTCTGACAGAAACAGGGTAAGGCACATTGGCATGGGACTGCCACATGTAACTATGCGATATCTTCCACTGCCATTTTGACCAGATGTCCCTTGAAAAAGAGAGTATGTATTTCAACAGACCTCCTGGTTAAAAAAAAAAAAAGGTAAATAAATGCAAAAATATTCATTTTTCCCAATCATATAGGCTATATCAAAATCAAAGTTAGATGAAAGAAGAAAATTAAAAAAGTTATTGTTTAAATCTGTATAGGTAAACTGTGCCAGTATGGGCAGATTCTGGTTGGGTTTTTGCCAGCATTATTCATTAACTGCAAGGCAATATTGTTGACTACTGCCACACGGCCTTTGACAACTTAAGCCCCTTTTACACTATACAAAAAACCAACTAACACCCGTTGACATCTGGCATTTGTCGTTAATGTGAAAGTGTAAAATCTGCATTCACTCTCGGTTGAAATGACTCTGCAGTAGTCATGGGTATTTATTGGCTCCAACTCCAATTGGCAGTGATGTAAACATGACACCTGGGTGAACACGCCAATTTTGTCCTCTCAGTCACAACAGAAAGGCAAACTTGCTGGCCGTGTGAAAGGTGTCAATCATCAACTTTTTATTGGGTTTACCCGCGTTTAAAAAACCCTGCTTATACATGCTAATTTTGGTATAAAAAGTATATTACAGTACATCAGATTTAACAAATATTTGATACTTAACATACTTTTCACCCTTTCAACACATTACAAAGTCAAACCATGAGGCTTTGAAAGAGCATTAACTTTAAGAAAATTAATCAATTACTCAAACTGGACTTCCTGAATCGTATTTTATTGCTGGGCTGATTTTGGTCTGAATCCCTCCTTACACAGTGCTACTTGCTAAATGACTAAATTGATTAACACAATATAAGTCCTGTGTCTGGTGAAAGAGCACACAATGGAAACCTGTAATTCATCCCTGTGGATGTGTTCTGTGCCTTTGGAAACTCTCTGAATATGAACAGTCTTCTGTAAATAAAAAATGTTCTTTGAAAGTGTGACAGAAGTCAGTGGCAGAGAAAAAAAAAATCTGGTTAATCATCTTTGCGTTTATCACCACAGGCAGCATTAAGGTGATTAGCTCAATGTTTTATCCAGCTGTTATCCTGATGTTGTTTCATGTCAATATTATGATGACTAATACGTCATATTTTTATATACCTTTTTAGTTACAGATTTCCAATTAATATTAAGCAACCTTTTATTGGATAAGGTCTTATAAATCTGTTTGAATCTTGGTTGCATCTGAATGCACTTTAGCACCAAAACGGTTACAGGAACAATCAGAGATGTGGAGCACAAAGACTAGAGAAATAAATAAATTCAAACAAAATAAAACTAAAATTGTTAACTGTGCTGTATTACAGCAACTGACTTTCAGAGATATAAAGGTTTAAGCACAAATATACAAGGAACTAAACATCAGCATGTAAAGTGTTTTTAGCAGATTAAGGTAGCAGACAAGGGGTTAAACCTTATTCATGTAAACTTGAGTTATTCACAGGATGCATTTATAAGTTCAGCCTAATGTATGTCTCCTTCTGAAAGCTAGAGTATTGCAAATCTCCTCCATTTGACATAGAGATAGAAGCAAATCAAGGAATGAAGTAGTAGTGACTCATGAACATATTCAATGTACCCTAAAGCCATGTCCCAATTTGTCCACATATCTCATTCTAATTTCCACCTCGACCCCAAGCCCTTCAAGGGTTTTGGTCATTTTATTATTCAGTTGGCTTAGCTCTATGAACTTAAAATCTGACCTAACTATAGCCTTTCTGAATAGGCCCTCATCTATCTCTGTCAATAAATAAATATTTTTAATACACATTTGGAACTGAGCCTTACTGTTGTCGGGGAAACGTGATCTTCAAGTTCATGTTTTTAATTGATCTGGCTGAACCTGGAAGTGCTATAATTTGTAAACCATTCATTTGACTTACATCAAAATTGTTGAGGGCATAGGCGAGCTCTCCTCCTCCTGCTGGCTGACTGAGTGCTGAGTCTTCAGTGGCAGTGGCCTGGGCGGCGTTGGAGATGCCAGAGACTGCATGCTGCAGCTGCTTGTAGATCAGGTCACGGTTAGCCTTGTAGGCTGCCACGTCAGGGTGCTGCAGGCAGGCACGGGACGCTGTGTACAGCATGGGGATGTTCCTCTGTAGAACCCCGCGAGCAGCAGCCATTTGGTCCTTGTGGTGGACATCCTTTAGTTCCTAGCATAATGAGATAAAAAAAGAAAGAAGAAAAGGATGGAAAATCAAGGGTTAAACTGGAAGATGGAACACCTAAAGGGGGCGGGGTGGTAATGTACTTTAGATTCAAAATGGGCCTGTCATGCCCTTATGGAGACACTAAGTGTGACAGAGTTTGTTCTGGATGACCCAGATTTATTTCTGTCCCCTGCGGTAACACAACACAGTCATAATCAGGCCATTATAATATGCCTTTGCAATTTAATGCGTTGCTATTCAGACCTCAGCATTATATTGCAATTACATCTTCATAGGAGGGAGGAGAGGAGATAGTGATCGCTGGCATAGATTTATAGTGTAAAAAAAAAAAAAAACCTGCTTGCATACACAAAATGAAAGCCTCTCCTTCAAATGGAACACTCCCAGGGCTTTTTTCCTCTACTGCCTGAGACATGCTCTGAGAGAAAAAAAAAACAGTCTTTAAGCCCCATTACTTCCTGCATTCACTTTAACACATTTAGCTATCCATAAAAAAGTGCAATTACAAGTAAAAGTAATTTGCTCACAAAATCATCAGTGATCACTTTGGCAAGTTTTCCATTTAAAGAGGGGAAATATGGAGAACAAGAACTGTCTTGTCTTCGGGTGGATTTTGCACTTAGAGATGTTAGTTAAGTGCTTTTGAAGCATGAATCTGGTACTCGTTGATGCTTCAACTTTTTTGACTTGATGCAATTACATCATTCAAATATTTTTCCAGTATGATGTGACAGATGAAAAAACCTTACTATATTCATCATCTAACTTCTCTACAGCAATGCCTGAATGAAGTTTGTATATTGGTAGGAACAGTCCAAAAAAACTCATGGGGCAGCCAAACAGTACATTAGTGGTGCATCAGTGGTGAAAGCTGGTGTGAGGATCTTGGAACTAACTGACATTAGGTAAAAATCAAACACTGCTGAGGAGCGGTCAAATAAATTTCCACCACAAAGTTGTATTAAAACACTTTTATATGTGTACAAGTCAGAATTTGACCCACGAGAAGGTGGGGAATGGATATTTTCAACTCTCACCTTCATTTTCAATTCTGCACCAAGAACCTTATGAAGCTGTGTTTCGTGAAAGATGCATCATGAAATGCACCACACTATTGACTACCTCGTACCTAATGTAGGAGCCATTTCTTGTCACAAGGAAATGGGTTTTGTCACATTTTTGTCAAGCCTTTATGCTCTTGTACATCCAGCCCACTTCACTGTAACTGGTAATTGATTGTTCATGCCCAGATTGCTCATGCTTACTGCATTTTGCTGTCCAGCTAGAGCATGGGGCACTATTCTTCAGGTTTACTTCTTGCCTTTGTTTTACTCACCATTTGCTATGTCATTTGGATAGCATGTTTTGTTACAGGTGACAAGACCACTTATATTCAACTACCTAATAACCTCCCAGCCCATTTAAATCCACAAGACTCCTTTGCTCCCACATTCTGATGTTGTCTCAAGTTTTTTTGCTAACTGTGCATTACCTGCTGTCTCTTCGCAGCCATGATGTTCAGCTTGTCCACCTCTGGTTTCAATGCCTTATATTGGATCCCCAGGTCCTGCTCTGTTCCTGCATTGCGCACTTTCACCAGATTGTCTTCCACCTGAGCAAGGTAGATGATGGTAGATGAGGTAGACAATACTTGAAATTAGCTAACATGCACTGAAGTACTGTACTTTTTTTTTTTTTAACAAACTGAATGATCAGTTTGGACAATGCTAACCTGCTGAAAATGTCAACATTTCAAAGGGCAATTTTAAAATAAAATAAAGCCAATCAATAGAGATGATTTTATCTAGTTTAGCCTGTCATATTCAGTTTCAAGAGTTGAAAAGTTCCTGTCAGCTGATATCAATGTGAGGACTCATTTTTTTTGTTTTGATACATTTAAGTGGGGTTCTACCACAGAATTTCTAAATTTTAGTTAAGAATCCATTTATTAAAAGGGAGTTACTGACAAAGAATTACTAATTTAAGCAAATACCATGCCACTTCTTCGTCCAAAACCAGCATGGACATTTGGCTAATTGCTGTGACACTGTGACATGGAAGAGCTATTCCAAAAATCTGGCCCATTTGGTTTTACTGCATTACTTACACTCGCATGGGGCCCTACCCCCCCTGGCCCTGTAGTGTCTATGAGTGAGTGGCTAAGGTAGAGATTAAGAGCAGTTCCTGATCATGCCATAGCAAAAAATACAACTTACAAATCAGTCTTGACCCAGAAATACATTAACATATATTTTTCTGGTCATTATTGGACAACTCATGTAAACTTTCACTGCTGGATGAAGTGGATTACTCCCATGCATGCAAATTCTTGAATAAAATTAATACCTTAATGTGGTTATCAATAGCATCAGATTGTGCTAAATGCTAACAAACACTGTGCAATCTCAGTCCGAAAAATAAGTAATTTTTCTGAAATTATAACAGCTCATGAATAAGCTTGTTTATAATATACAATGTGCAGAAAAAAATTGAACTCGCTCACCAGTTTAAGCTGCACTAGAAGTTTGTAGACATCAGACATGTCTGCCAGCACCAACAGATGTGTGACCGCCGACAGCAGGGCTCTGGCAGCACGAACCATATTGCCCCGCTTCACAGAAGAGCAGGGGTCTTCTGCAAATTCTCCAGAAGCCTGGCGCATTGAATCACCTGAGAATGAGTGACAAAACAAAACAAAACAAAACATCTGCTGTAACTCCAAGGTTTAAACTGAACCTTCAAATAAAAACTGATTCAAAAACAGACTTTTGAACCAGTAAATGTTCAAAAATACAAACTGTTTTGAACCACTATGAATTACTTTTCATAATGCTAGAAAGTGGATTTAATCCGTGGTAGTCTGTGGAAAACAGTAATCAGCTTTCCAATCGTTTGCAATCACAAAAGAACAATTATCTTACCATCAACATGTTAACATTTTTATTACCTAAGCACATGCCTCACCAACAGGTTGTGATATGAAAATATAACCAAAAAACTAAGTCAATGTTTAGCAAAATCAAAGAAAATAATAGTAATTGCTTTTCATTGCAATTAATTGCATTCCTCTGTTATCCATTAAGTCAGAGAATATTCTTCATGTCTAAACCCTGTTTTTATCACTACTATTGGTACTAGCAGTATTAGCCTACCGTAGCAATTGTAGTAGTAGCAAAATTAGCCCACAGTAGCAGTACTAGTAACAGTGGTAGCAAAAATAGCCTATAGTAGTAGTAATGGTAGTGACAGTGGTAACAGAAGCAGTAGCAGTGATAGTAGTAGTCAACAGGAGTCAACAACAGATGTCTTAGAGCAGTCATGGTCCGTTCCTGTCTACAAGTTTAGTGTGTCAGAAGTCTTCATTTGAAATGAAGAGGAGTGTGCGGGAGAGATGCATTTTCCCTGCCTGGCTAAGGTCAACTTGTGTCACACGGAGCAAGATAGACACACAGACACCCATACCTCTCCAGTGTCCACTGATAATTTCTGCTTGCAAATTGACATACACACAGTCCTCTTAAAAAAAAAAAAAAAGAAAAGAGAGAGGTCAAAGCCATGACAAAAGGCTTACTGTCCAGATTGTCCAGCACCATGCTTTGTCCTACATTGGCTGGGCCTGCACAGTTGACTGGGCACACAAATAGAATTTGTAGGCTCACATTATGAACAATCCGTAAAGTTTATTTCAGTGGAGGCACAGCCAAATTCAAACCCTAAAAAATTATTGCTGTGGCTGCATTACAGCTTCAAAGCCAACAAACAGACAAGTACTTATCTTGTCCACTTTCCTATAGTGTCGTACGGCTTCATAGAGACCGAAGACAAAAAAAAAAAACGATACATGAATAATTTTCTTATACCGATGAAGTGTGCTCTGAAAAAAAGACATCTGAAAATTAATTTAGCAGCGGTTTATTCTCAGTCAGTTGATACCATCTTGCTAAATACTTTTTCTATGACATCCGTGTATTTAGAGAGCAGCTCTATTTTTCTGGCACCACTGCTTAGAAAGAAGTGTTTTCATAGACAGTGTACTTCTCCTTTTGCCCAATGCGTGCCGGGACTGACTCCAGACACCTTGACCCTAAACAGGGTAAGCAGTTTAGATAATCATGAATGGTTTCAACAGTAAGATGCCAATAAAGATATAACAAAATGCTGTGGTGTGATATTTTATGAAACATCACAACAGCAACACTGAAAAATTCATCGCAATATCAACTAAATCTTCTAAACTGGCTATGTGAGCAGTGTGGAGTAAGTGCTGCAAATAGTTTTCTTACGAAGTCAAAGTGTCAGTGTACTCTCTCTCACTCCGAGATAACGAGCAAGCTGCATTTAGACACAAAGTGAAGTGACTTCTTGGCTTAGACCTCTGGAATGTTTTCAAAGACTGAGTTGTGGCCACAAGCAGTCACTGAGTTCCCAAACTGACTGAACAAGAGGAGACTGTATGTGTGACAACTCAGAGAGACTGATTTCCAAAATCATCAGGAACTTCATTCTCTCTTATTTTACTTCAGACCATCTCCTTTCTGCCCCTGTCGCCTTACATTCAGTGAGTCATGCAACTCAGAATAACTACATGTTTTCACTCAGCTGAAACATTTTCAACTCAATATATGTCTTTGCTGTAATTTCATTGTCTAGAGCTTTCGTCCGTCTATGTTCAAGTCTATCCGCAGACTTTGTATGTATGTCACCTCATAATATGATTTAGGATTTTAAAATCAAACTGAACATCAGAATTGATCACATTTGCTTAGATTTATGTCCAGTTGGTGAATCCAACCAAGTTCAGACATTTGTGCTTAAAAAGTAACCTGACAACAGACAGTGTCTCACTGCCCTCTCAGGCTGAAAGTTTCAAGACTGTTTCACCTCTGCACATACCCAGCATCCCTGATGCGCGATGATGGATTTCCAGGAAGTATTAAATTACTCTTTAAGCTTCATGAGAACATCCTGCTCCTGGTGATCACGACCTTTTTAGTCCATTAGTGGTCAGTGCAATTTTTTTGTGAAATTATTATAATTATGGTTGTAAGAGCATTTTTATGTTGGTGTTGGTTAGTGGTAGTAAAGCTTTCAATGATAATTTAAATAAATTTTTTTATTCATCAAATTTGTGTCTTTAAATTAAGCTGTGACAACAAGCTGCAGCCTCGCTGACCAGTATAAGTCTAAGCTAAAGCTGCAAAGCTACAGGCTCAACTGGACTGAGAAACTTCAGTGTTTGGTGGAAAAAACTGGGCTTAAACGACTGGGTGTAATTGAAAAATCAACAACAAGCTATCAATAGACCCCCTCCTTGTGAGTAAGTAAACTGACAACCTGTGAGAACTCCCCCTGGCTAATGTCAGGATCATGCATGCCCAATAGCATTTACAGTTCAGCAGGTGTTCTTCAACAATTATATACTTAAACTGTGCAGTCACTTACTACTACATTATCTAATATTAATACCAGTAACATACCTTAATGTAGATAGCAGATATCAGAATCTTCATATATCTATTAGGCCAAAGAAGTCTTTGAGGTAATTTAGAAGTGTACCTATTGTTTGTCCACCGCTGACCACTGAAAGGTTATTTTCAAGTTTCCTGCTCAGTATGTTGATTTGCCATACTTTTTGTTTAAAAATAAGGGATCCTTATCAAAAATTATCAGCAAATATGCTTGTATTGAGTTTTTAAAAACTCAAATATTGACTTGGGTTTTAAAATCAAAAATCCAGTATTGATTAAGCTGTGGGATATACATATATCAAAGTCATTCTGATTGCTTATTTATGCCACTATGTAACAATCTTCTCCTACTGGTAATATTTAATTTTAAGTAATTTCAATTATTTTGTAGACCCTAGATTTTTAATGCTCAAAAAGACCAGACAAGAACAAATAAGCAAACATGGATGGATCTGATACTTTCAAGGTAGTGAATGTGTCCATTCCAACTCATGCTACCTGCTCAGCGCATCTGCAACACAGCAATAGCTGCAGTAGTCTTCTATCAGTCTTTACACCAGATCTAGTCTGCCACAATGTTGCTGTGTGGCATGTTGTGTTCACAGCCCAATACAAACAAACAAACGAACGAACTAGTTGTTCAAGAAAAACCTAAAAAGACACATGGCTAATGTAGAAAGTGAAGTGTATCTTTTCATTCAGAGGAATCACAGCTGTGAGTGTGAGGCAGAAGTGACTGTGGCTTTAGCACCATCACTGCATCCGCAGCAACTGTCATGAAATCATGAAGTATTGAATCTTTAAAAAAAAAAAAAAACTCCACTCAGTTTGCAAAAAACTCCAACAGTGTTTCAAGTAAGAATTCCCTCACCAATTATTTTTAGTATATAAAGTATCAAAAATAGCCTAAAACACAAAGATATTCAGTTTATATCTGACAAAGAAAAGCAGCAAACCTTCACATCTGGAAAGCTCCAAACTGTGAATGTTTGGCATTTTTGCTTGAAACATGGCTGAAATTGCTAATCATTTATCAGAATCGATGAAGATCAATTTTCTGTCAATCAAGTAATTGTTTCAGCTATAAAACAGACCAATAGAGAAAACATCAAAATCCTCAGGGTAAGACATTAAGATGTAAATGAGGTTATAGTACTTACTTTGGAGTGATAATCAAAGTTTATGACTTTTTTTGTTATCAACAAATCAGCCATTTGTTTCCTCACTCTCCCAGTAAAGATACTGTATTTGCAAATGCACATTTGGAGATTAACTTCAAATTCAGTGAAGGACAGGAAAAAAATGCACTATCAAATCTGTAAAACAAAGACCCCACGCAGATTCTGACCATTTTACCCCGACAGAGAGCTAAAGCAGTTTGTGCAAATGATCGACAACACAGGCCTTAAACACAGTCCGCACCTTCAGGCTGTCTTCCCCCCACCCCATTGCAAAAATCAATAAGGCCATTTTCAGGGGGCAGATAGTGATCAGTGCTCCTTTAATAAACTTCCATCTATCTAATGTTCACCTGCGGCCAGCCAAGTGCATGATGAAATGATTAAAATGTATATCACACAATAAGCCTCCCAAACAGCAGGACAACAAAGACACAAGGCCAGGAGGGAAGGGTAAGACGAAGAGAACAAGCACAAGAGCAGATAGAAATGGCTCAGTAAAGAAAATCTTTAAAGGCGTAAGAAATGTCACTGTAGAGATGTCTATTAGTGATATCTACAATAAACAAAATATATCTTAAGATACTAAGAAAATGCGCTAAGTGTAGCAAAACATCCACTAACTTCCATTCGACATGCATAGCCATTCTTAATGATCATGTCAGAATTTTTTTTTTCTCCTACTTAAAACAGCTGGTAAGCCACAGCTGGTTGGAAAAATGTTTTCTGAATCCAGTGGGGGTGGGTGGTGTTACCCTACTAAATGGCCGTATTATCAGTCTATGCACGCTCCACTGAGCAGCATGGCATAGCTGACAGCCAGGCCTAGGCACCAGCTAACAACAGTCACTGAATTCCTGCCCAGTGACAGCTTACCACAACTACAGTAACATTCCTGGGCACTGAGCACTGCGCAGGCTATCTAGCGACATGTCATCTACCTCCCAACTACTCAGAGCAGAACTCGAGGAGGGGGCATCTAGCGCGCTGGGCATCTGGGGAAAAGAGACACAGTGACACAGATGTCGCTTCACTAGGTGATAACAGCCACCCTCAAGTCATAGCTCCCTGGTCTCAATGGTCTGCTAGTGTGTCAAAAGAGGATCAGATATCCAGAGCAGAAAGCAATAAATGAGACTTGCAAGTGTGGTTGTTAGATGATGGAACCTGCTATCAGAAGACAAATGGTAATTTCATTGGCTGGTGATTTGATGGTGGATTCCTGTTTAAAGACTTGTAGGAGGCATGAAATTGAGTTGGAAATGGACTGTGGTTGAGTTCAGTCCCACCAGGCAGGTGGATATAGCCATTTAAATACATTTGACATCATCACTGACATCTCCACACTTTTTTTCCTTTATACCTGAAGTACTTGCACTCCCCTGTTCTGATCTATGTGGCAACAAATAAAAAGGAAAGCATTTAATTATAAAACAGAAACAAAAATGTATGCATATGTTGTTCAATACCTCGAGTACCACTTCTTCCATACAATGAGGTGGTAATGCACTAAGTGACCCAATAGATAATCTTTAACACAAAATGCCATACAAATCTCACATTAGGTTGGTGATGCTGAAGTCCAAATACACTGGACTACAAGAACACATGCACTTCTGAGGGGAAATATGGTTAAATTGGATCCTTGTAGAAGGTAAAGCGATGAAAGTGTATAGACTGACATGAATATGAACCGCCAACATGAAAAGTTAAATGAAAAGTCTATTAATGGGATCCCTGAAAACCCCACAGCAAAAAGAAATCTATCAGTCAAAGTATATTCTTATTTCAAGGTCTTCCACTGGGGGAGATGATATGTACATAGTTTATGATTTATTTATCATCACTCCTATCTTAAGAACCACTCTGTACAAGCTAGAAACCACATACTGTTGCAATATGTATTTTCAATATACCTTGCTTGCGGACATCTTCCACAGCAGCAGTTAGCTCATCCTTCAGGAACTGACTTTCCTTTGCAATCTTTTCTCCTTTCTCCAGGAAGTTCTGGGTAGCCGTCTCTACCGATGCAGCCAAAACATGAGCCTTCTTGGAGCGTCCCTTCTTCTTGTTAGATGGGCCTTTGTTGCTGGAGTTTACCAAAGTAGTGACCTATGTATGGTCCAGAAACAAAACAGCTTAACGTGACAGCTCACGTCAAAACCAGCCGCTTAAGGATCTTAAATGTAGTTAGCAGATTATGGTTATGGTTATACAGCTCTTTTTCACATGTAAAGCCAATGACATTACTGCATTAGCTTTCAGTTATTTCTTATCATAGGAATAGTATCCACTTATTGGGTATTTAAGTAGAATACAGTATATTCACATAATATAAAACAATTATGAAAAGGTGATAAACATTCAAATCATTGTATATTCAAGCATTTTTGTAACCAAGATCCTGAGACCATTCAACATATGACCATGTCCTATTTTTGTAAATATAAATGCACAGTTTACATTACCTGAGTGACCAGGGGCTCCAGCAGCCTCTCCACTGCCAAAGTACGGATCTCTAGACTCTTTGGGTCCCATTTAAAATTGATGTTAGCTGTGTTGATGTTTGTCATGGTGTCTGAAATTCTGGGGGTAATAAATGGACAAAGTCAAGGAAAAATGATGGCCAGGGCCAAGTCTGCTTTATTTTTCAAATGAAATGATGAAACACAATTTGGACTGCATCAAACAAAACATCTTTGCCCTCCAAAACACTGAATATCTGTTGTCAAATTAGATGACTGTGGTTGTAAGTTATAAAGGATAGGCTTTTTGCTCCGCCAAAAACTGCAATAAAAGATGCAGTGAGTAAAAAAATTAGAAGTTTGCTTCTTAAATCTTCCTTTGTGATTTTCAGAGTAGTCTTTAAAAGTTTGTGCAATAGTCAAAATATTAAGGTCCTTGTTAGAGCCAGCAATGCCTCATCTCTCACAGAATGACTGCCAAAGGCAGAGCACAGTAACACTGTGGCCCAATTTCGATTTCTCTTTTCAGGCAGTGACTGCAGCTCCATTGATTAGCTATCAAACATGGAAGGGCAGAGATAATCAGCAAGCCCTAAGGGCTGGGGGGCTTCAACTGAAAAGCTGGTCAGCTGTACTGTAAGAACAATGTTGTAGCTAGCTATTAGCCTATGCTGTCAACAAAGAGGCTAAAATATTAAAAACACCACAAGAACATTTGAATGATGACTACCTGACATTACATCAGACAGTTACTTATTGGGTGGGCGTGCTTTCAATTTTGGCTTCATGAATCTTGACTAATGTTTGCATTTGGATGAGCTATACTTGTTATGATCTATGACACCGTTTAACTTTTAATCAAACAAGGGAAAAATGCCAGCCACTATGGATGGATGCAGATTGTCTGGCACATTTGTAACCCATTTTATCATGAACCAAAATCTTATGGCTCTTCCACTTCTTCCAGGCTTTAATCTACAATTACTTATCAACCACTGCAAGGTTTAGCTCCACTATAATATTAAAAGGTCACTTCACACAAACCACTAGATATAATATACAACAATGATATCTAACCATGAAGATACTTTGATTTGTGGAGGTTTTGAAATCTCCAATGCTGAAACAGCTGTGATACAACACCAATTAATGTAACCGTTTGTGGTGTGCAAATGAATTGAAAAAAACATTTGTAAACTCAGCATTAAAAGCTTTATATATCAGTCTCCCATTGTAATCCACACCTCGCTGAGGCCAATTTTACTGAAACTACTACCAAAGAAATAACTGCATTTAAAACTAGCCTATGGATTATTCCAGGTAACTGCGACATCGGTGGTGAGATTCCGTGTACTTCCTCTCTCTGGGTGTGGCAAAAGAATATTCAGAGGCAGCTATCTCAAAATCAGACCAAATGAAACCAAAACAAATTGCAAGGCTAGATACCCCTAAGGGTACATGCGTGTGATTTGGATGATATAATACTTTAAACTAATTTGGCCCAAGAGAGACCAGCAAGACAGGGTATGTTATGGTCACCCAAACAAGAAACATCCAAAATAAGAAATAAATTTAACACTGATTACTAAGAGCGACAGGGCGGGTCCAACGCCTGAGAAGCTAGGTGCTAACAACTAACGTTAGGTGAAGTTACACCTGTTGTAGCCAACTTCACCCAAATTAATGTTTGTTTAACCCAGCTAAAGTTACATCAGTTGATACAGAAATACGTAAATGGTGCGCCCATGCACACTTTAAACTCGGTGCTGGCGAAGTTAAACGATTTTCAACAGGTTTTTCCTTTTTATGGGTCACCGTTAACATTTGAGCCAACTTAGCATGTTACCTGCTAACGTTCAGTATCCCAAACACGGCACCTTGCTAACGCTAATGCTAGCCGACACAACAAACATTCACGTTGGCTCCGTTGGCCTGATTTAATGCCGCAAAAAAACTTAACTGTCGTGTTAACGGGGTGACAAATAAAATATTCGCGTAACAATGGCTGAAGTATGTATCTAAATGGAGTCGCAAGAAAACGCAATGAACTTACCGACAACGGTCCACTAGAAAAACTGGAGTTTAAAAGTTCAAAATGGAGGAATGAGAATTACGGAATTCCTTGCCTCAAAAGTTTTCCTCCCTTTTCCTCCCCTCACTGACTCAGTTTAGTTGTGCTCCCAACTGCCGACCTTACAAGGCACATCCCCTTCGAAAGTATATCGAAAAGTAAATACAAGTGTGTCTAAAAATGATCACCAGCCGTTAGTTACCTGAAAAGTTTCGGTTAAGATTGTGTCGATGTCGCAGACTATTGCCCAACAATGGATGAAGCGGAGGGGGGGCTGGGGCGGTGACCGAGTTCCTGAACTTCCTGGCAGCGGGGCAGGGCGACCACAGGACAGAGCAAGCCCACAAAACGAGGAGGTGTTTTGGGCGTGGCCCTCACTGTGTGTGTCCATATATGGATTAATTATTGCTTCCATAAAACTTGTGTAGGAGCAGGCCAAGCTGAGGGACAACACTTTTATCTTCTTAACATTCAGTCTGAAGAGGGAACTACTCACCAGGAATGACAAACCTCGGAGTGTGATAGTCATGTGGGACTTATTCAAGAATCATAGTCATGTGCTTTAACAAGTGTGAAGTATGTTTGCCAATTATGTATGTGCCAATTTAACCCGAAAGCTATATTTGCACACCTTAGGTCTCCCTAGTACAGACGAAAATGAATATCTAATTTAATCCTGAAAGCAGCAACCCACTTGGTTTCTATTAATTTAGTTACTACAGAGGAAACTGCCCCAAAAAAACTAATCTTAGGTTATCTTACTATAACAGCAACAAAAAAAGCACAATTTTGCCACTTTGTAAATCATTCCATGAACAGGGATTTTAATTCTTTACTGCTATGGTGAAATTCAGTTGTGTTTTTATTTCTTTTCTTTAGTTTTTTAATTTTGTCCAGCTGCAACACGTCAAACCTAACAACCAAAATGATCAGTGTATGAGTGTGATGAGTATGATCCCACTGCTCCTCCAGCATTCCAGCCCATCACACAGCAGTTTTGCTCACCACAATAAAAAACTGATTTAGGTTAAAAGTGTCATTCTCAAATCATGTGTACCCACCTTTTATCTATTATTAAATCTTTTCAAATTATGTGTGACTGTAATATTAAAAGTATCTTTTCCTTCGTATACAGCTATTCATGTGTCATATCTTATAATGGTTGATGCATCATTTTGGCGGTTGCTTTATTTTACTGTTGTCTTTTTAAAGTTTGTCCTTACAGGATGCAAAATAGAGTCTTTTCGAACTGAAAATGGATTTCTGTCAATGTCAAAGTGTCAGATGTTGTTTCAGTTGTCCAGATTTTAAAACTACATATTTAGTAGTACTTCATGGCTACCATATGGCCCAATCTGTTCCCTTTAGAGTAGCTTGGTTTCAAACCCTCTTGGAAATTATATACTACTGCATTCATCCTATGTACTAAAAATAAGAGTGTGTTTTAAAAAAGTTAATGAGCCCAAATGTTGGCTTAACGAATTCAAGTAACAGAAGACTCCAGAGAAAGGCAGTGCTGATGCAGCTGACGCAGCATCAGGTGCCCACACACAGTGAGCAGGTTGTAGCTTCGGTTTCTCATATTTTATTAATATATAATAAACATATTTCTACAGCAGCGCTGGCATTTCATATGAAACTTTTATTCAGATAGCTAGGGAGGGCTTGCATATGTCACAATTTTTTTACAATTTCAAGGTCAAGGGAAACTATATAAGATATAATCAGTATGCAGTAGTCTCTCTTTTATGGTTTGTTGCAGCTGTGACTGATAACACTGAGACATTTGATAAACATATTCAAGAGGCAAGTATTTTGGTTTGGGCTTAATCAAGTGTGAAAGCCATAAATAGATTATCTGAAGAGCCCAGGTGCCACCCCTCCTGCCTCATTTTTTTCACCTTACACACACACATACACACACAATGGATACACTGTCTCTTTACACAGTGGAATCATGTTAACATGTTTACTTGATGGTTGTATAAACTAACTAGAAAGGTAGTGTCAGGTGGTAATTTGGTTAAAAACATTTTTTAACAGCCTGCATCCTTTCCTGCACCATCCTGTTGGTGTGTGTGCTCAGTAAACCTCTGTGGCCTTAGAGTATAATTCTATTAACAAAAGAGAAAATATAATCAAATAAGTCAGTGCGATTGGTCATATAATTCCAATTATATAGAGAGAAAATTGCTGAGAAAAAGAGGAGACAGTCATCTGCAAGTCAAGGTTGTGACCACAGAGAACATTACAAGCAACAATGGTTGTTTTGTTCTGCGGCAAGTACAACTAACACACGTCTATTTGTTGGCTAGAGTAGGTGTTAATTAAGAAGCTCCACCAGTGCAGCATGAATTACAGTCCTGAAGAGAATGAGCTAACAAATGTACTCATGAAGCTCTTTAATGAAGGCCTCAGAATATAATTATCTTCTGGAAAGGCACTCCTTAATATTTTTCCTGGGATAATAATTTGCGAAGTGATTGTTTTCTCCATAGAGTTTTGACCATGCCAAAACTGAGGGGTCACGCATTAAACAGGCGTATGAAATTCCCGCAAACAGAGATATATCACTGAATTATCTTGTGTGTAATATTAATTTCAGTCAAGAACAGAGGGGCCAGCCACATACATAGTGTAGCAGAGATTTGTTTATCCAATTAATACTCTGTGGTGGAGAGGGATTAGATGTGGTGCAATGGTGTGCTTGAATGATGAATGTTTGTCCAAGTAACAGCTTGCTGAGAGGACAAGTTTGGGTGTCCTTGAACTTCATCTTTTTGTACCTGTTGGGCCCGACAAATGATAAGAGCACAGCATGCTATAAATAATTCCTTCTCATTATGAGGAAGTGCACATGTTTGTCACACACTGAATGTATAATTGAGCAAATGCAAATCTGTAGTGTGTGGCACTAGAAAAATAGAAACTGTGGTGAATATTATAATATGCCTTTACATTTGAAATCAAAGCACTGGGTGTAATCTTTCCAAAATATAAAATATACATTAAATATACATATTACATTAAATGTTTTCTCTGACTTTTCTGCTGAGTAATTCTATAGATTAGTTTTACATTTCTATTCAGGAACACAATGTCTTATCGAAAGGCAGCCCTGGCACTGCTCCATGCTGATAAGCTTTTTTCACAATTGTGTTACCATCTATTGTTTTGCAGACATGGAAGTTACTGTATGTTATAGTCTCCTGTCATATTAGTTACTCATCCTTTGACGTTGACTGGACTGGAAGCTCCCTCACTGCAGGAGGATTTTGTTCCCTGACATAAGGAACACAGCGACTTTCAGTCTGCCCACATTCACCTGACTCATCCTGACAGCTGTCCATGGATCTGCATGATGTCATCTGCAGGCTCTCCCTTCCTAAGAAAGACCATATACCTTCACGATTAGAAATGAGTGTGGTGCAATGTAGGCGTAACTCTTCCACAGTGACACTTAAGGGGTGGAGAGGAAAGTCAACAGGCGAGTAACACAGATGATTATTCTTGATAGCAGTCATTCACCGTGACTTTCTTGCAGAGGTGAGAAGAAACATACATTATCACACTGACGTAACAAAAAGTCCCTTGGAAGGACATATCAGACATGTTTACAATGAGGTGCTGGAACAGTGATGTAATGGTTTCATGACATCTGATTGGACCATTGAGAAGGTTGCAGTTCCCATGACTCAAATGCTGCTAACTCATTGTTGGCAGTCTGCTGAGCTCCACCTGCTGGTTTAGATTATGGCATCAGACTGATGCAGACTGATGCCTTCTGTTCTGGCTTAGTTAGTCTGTGTAGCACCTCTCCTTGGCTTTCGAAGAGGCAGGAAGTAACTGTAGCATGCCTCTGCCTATTGTGCGACTACTGAGTAACCTTTCATAGTGTATCATTTGCGAAGATGATCTGCTTTTTACCAAGTGTTGCTTATGAAACTTAGATCTGTTTAGTCTGAGAGGAGACTTCAAAGTCAGACAAGTGTTTGATGCGCAGCAAGAGTTCCACTCAAGGAGGTGATGTTGACATTTCAGGGGAACAGTGCTGCTGACAACAATACAATAAGTGCATATGATTACCTGTTCCTGCTCTCCCAGCAGCTCTTTATGTGATCTGCTTCTGGATATGTTTCACAGACAGAGAGACAGTAGTGTGTTCATAATCATTTTTACACAATCCATGATCACTGACTGAAAGGCAATTACCAGCAGACCACCGATTGCAAACACACTTGTCATTCACAGTACACGCACTATTCAAGAAACCTTGTTTTATACCGAAATTCTCCTGGGAGCGACTGCCCCAATTTCTAGCTTACCATGTGGGATTCAGGCTAAAAGGAAGGTGAGGAATCTGGGGGAAGCCACAAAATGAAACATAATGCATTTAAGAGCTGTAATGAGCCACAGATTCAGACATCATTCAAAGCGTTTTATCCAAACGTATTATACAGATATCCATGTGCTTCAAAAATACAGTATATGGCGCTCGCTTGTACGTGTAGAAGGTCACAATATCACCAGCTCTGAAATAGCTAATAATAAGACAATTTTGACTGTACATTACTGGGAGGCTTCAGTTTTTGTAAAAAAAAAAAGAAAAAAAAAAAAGAAAAAAAAAAAAGAAAAAAAAAAAGGTAGCTCTGAGGTTGACTTTTGGTAGAGAAATGAATAAAGTCCAATAAAAATAGAATTAATAGAAGGATTTGGGCAGGTAGAAAGTAAGACTTCTTTGAGGTTTCAAAACTAATTATGCATAAAAGTACAACTGTAGCCTAAGGTTCCTAATTAGAAGACTACAAGGCAGCCTAAAAAAAACAATAATAACAGAACTAGTTATTTCTGGATTTGTTGTTGTTGCTTGTGACTTCTAATTTGCCAAAATAGAGAAAGCAGACAGTGTCACCTATATAGGAAATAAAACAATAGAAACTTGATAATAAATCAGTGTCCATGACCCAAATATCATTCAAGCCTGAAACCCAGGTTGGTGGGATTTTTGTCATGAATATACCTTCATGCGAAATCAAAGCAGGTTTTGAATATTCAGTGCAGGAAATATAAAAAGCACATTTGTGCAGTTTTTAATAATGCATGTAACATTGTCAGTGTCAGTATCATTTGGTCAGGCTTTAAACATAAGCCATTCACTGAAAATGTCATGAGACTATAGTAGGTGGACAGTGGATGATACATTATGCTGCCCCTCCAAGTCAATGTCTCCATAGGAACAATAAAAGAGGTATAGTCAGCTAATTTCT